GACAAATGTGTGGATAAATAAATTTATGTTAAAAACATTGAAACCAAATATATGGGATTGGGTTGCATAATTGTTTTGAAAAGAGAAAGCTTAAATGGCTTTAAAGTAAAATTATAAACCATGCAAGGGTTAAAATGTACTTGCTGTTATATATTTTCCACTTGAGACTCTTTTGCAGATTGTTTACCTGCTGAGATTTCCTCAGAGTCATATAAAGAAAAGCTTGGTTTGCTTCAGTTAGTAGGAGGAGTTTGTATCTGTTTACTTAATGATTCCCTCTGTGTTATCTTTCTCCTGGTTTTGTTTCCTGAGATATAATTTGTGAGGGATGTCCCAAGGTGGTATCTATTTTGATTTATACCTATAATTACCAGTTATAGGACAATGGGGACACTAGACAGGTTTCCCATTGACAGAACGTTCCTGATGTGCCTTTTTAGTGACTGTTCTACAAGAACCATACAGTAACTATTATGGGCAGAACAGGCTCAAATGGATTGCATGACGTCCTCTTGTTCCTAATGATTCTTGCGTTTGATATGGCCATTTCACGTCAGGATGTCTCAAAGCGCTTCACAGGATTTACAGTAAAGTATAGTGACTGTAATTTTGTGAGCAAATGTGGCAGCCAATTTGTGCACAGAAATGACCCACAAACAAATCTCATGATGAATGACCAATTTTATCCGGGGATTGTTAACCAGTATACTGGGAAAAGCTCCCTTGACTTTTCGTATAGTGCCATGTGATCTTTGATGTCCATCTGAACAGACAGATAGGAGCTCAGTTTAATGTCTAATGCGGAGAATAGTACCTCCAACAATCCAATATACCAGCACTGTTTTGAAGTGTCAGTCAAGACTGTGAGTCTCAACATGGAGCTTGAACCCATAACCTTCTGAGTGCTACTAAGTGAGCCAGGCTGACACCTAAATTCCTATCCAACAATAATAATAATCCTTGCATTTGATATAGTGTCTCATCACGTCTCAAAGCGCTTCACAGAATATACTGTAAAGTGAATTGACTGTTATTTTGTGGGTGAAACACGGCAGCCAAATGCGCACAGCAGTGTCCAACAAACAGTCATCGATTGAGTGACCAAATTTTTTTTTAAGGGATTATTACCCCCAGAAAAGCGATCTGCCAATCAACTAATAACCAATTTCCTACTTACTGCTAGGTAAAAGGATCATTAATAAGGTACTAATTTAAAATTTAAGATATAATTTAAGAAGGTTCAATAACAAAAATAGTGACTAGAAGATTTTCTATCAAGACCTGCCATACAAAAACATTCATTGCCATATGGAAAAAAAGTGTTTCAATGCACAAATTCCTCCCATTTGCCTCTGTTTTGCTCCTTTGTGGTGCATTACAAGTGATTTTAATTTGGTTGTAAGACTGTGGATGAAGTTGCTGATTAAAAATTGTCATAGAATAATCTTAACTACTGTAATTCTGATAGTCATGGGTATAGGTTCTGCAGCACGTGCTAATGATTGCTCTGCCAGTAACTAGTCTTTGTCTACACTCTGTGATGGTGCCTGCTAGTTATTTATGACTTATGGAAACTATTTCTTAAGCTTTCAGTAAAAATACTTCCTTTTTTTCCAATGTACTAAAATGAGAAAATCCTGTTGATAGATTTACATTTCACTGTATATATTAAAAAATCATTTGGACTTAATTTGCCTATTTTTAGTTGAAACAGTTGCTAATATTTTCCAATCGAATGATAATGGATTAAAAAAAAGCTTATGCCATTTGCCAATAGCTCAGCATTCTTTAAATCGATGAGTCATGTGATATAAATCAGATGTCGTTTTTTAGGTCACCTTTGCTCCCCTTCTCCTTGATCAGCGATGCTCTGACATCAGCCATTAGGATGTGTTTGAGCACAAACTGGGTGACCATTCCCACCAGCAACTGACTTACTGAGATTGGGACCTTGATGTGCAGTGGGGTGATGGAGCTACATAATGTTGTATCACTTTTAGGTGCAGTATGCTGGGTCACTATGCTTCTTACACTGGGAGAATCTTTAAGGGTTATAAACGGCACCTATTACTGTGTGCATTCTTGAGAAAAGACAACTCCAAGGAGATCTTGAGCGGGTGTATAACATTTTAAGAGGGATTGAAAACGTAAACTCAGTACAATAGATTAGGATGCACCAAGGCTGGGTTGTATTACTAAATCAGTTGAGGTTAGATCCCCAGGCTTTACTCTTGGAATCAGAAGTATTATTGCTTAAAATATTATCTGAGTTCAGTTAGAATTGTCAGCCTGGTGCAACAACAACAACAACAACTTGCATTTATGTGACACACTTCACGCAGGGTAGCATGCTGGAGTGGTAGCTCTCTTGTCCCTGAGTCAGAAAGTTGTGGGTTCAAGCTCCACATTGGGACTCATAATCACAAAGTCTAAGTTGATACTTCAATGCAGTGCTGGGGGCGTGTTGCATTGTTAGTGATGCCATCCTTTAAATGAGACGTTAAAACAAGGTCCGATCTGCCTGTTCAGATGCATGTTAAAGATCTCATGGGCCTATTCGAAAAGCGAAGATTGTTGCTCCTGGTGTCCGGGGCAACAATCTCCCAAATAAAATTGGTCATTCACTTCATGCTGTGTGCAACTGACTTTTTTTTACAGAATATTGTGTGAAGCGCTTTGAGATGTCTCAGCGATGTGAAAGGCCTTGTATTCAATGAAAAGATGATTATTATTATTCATATCTAAGTCCATGCAGTTAGCAAATTAAACTGAACGCTCATTAAATCTTTCTCTAGCTATTATTGGAGACGGCCAATTTTCTTTCCAGTTAGAACATATCTCATGGGTATTCTACCTGAATATTTGTTGTGGTGTATGTGTGTGGGGGGTGCGGCAGAGCAAGGCAACTTAATTCTCTAACTATGCTGGTTTTTTGTTGGTTGTGTAGCTTGCTGACAAAGAGATGCATAGGATTTACAGGGTGATCTTGTTGCCCAAGATCTTCAGAAGTATCACAATAATGGAACTCCTCAGATGTTCGGAGTGTATTTATTACTATAATATTAATATTGGAAAACCTGGCCTCTGATTGTCTGGCACCCAAAGTCAGTTTTTGAGCCAAATGAGTTTCTTGAATTGTAAGGATTAGCTGGGCTGGGTCAGAGATGTGACAAAGTCAATTTCAGTTATGTCAACAATACATTAAGTGCTGTGGCAGGCAGAGTGTGAATGAGCCTGAGCAAGATAACTTCTCCATGTTGCTGGATGGGTTAAGCATGAATTAGCCTCATGCAACAATACATGTAATAGTGAAATACATAAAACATACAATAACCCTATAAACCGCTGATGTTTATAGGGGCATTTACAGTTATGTGGTTTATGGAAAATCAACCTCTTACATTGCAGCCAACATAACTCATTCGTACCAATGACAGTTGTGAGTTATGTGAGCCCAGCTTATGCTTTATTGTACTATAATCCTATTTACAAAAAATGACATTAAAGCATTAAAGATACACAGCATCACAGAATTATTCCCAAACAACATCATATGATGGAAAGTATATAAAAAGTATAAATAATAAATAATCTTTGCTTTTGATATATTTTGAACATGTCAAAGCGCTTTACAGGATATAATATAGAGTGACCATGCATTTTGTAGGCAATCGCATTCTAATAATAGTAATAATCCTTTCATTTTGTAAAGCGACTTTCATGTGGGGAGGATGTCCCAATGAACTTCACAGAATACATGGTAAAATGCAGTGTTGCATGGGTAAATGTATTTTAAAACATTACGTACTCTCCAACATTGCTATTTAGCTTCAGACATTCACTAAAAAGAGGAAAAGGTCTAAGTGAAATAAAATGACACATGTAAAACCAGACCATTAGAAATCTTCAGTGCATCGATCACACAGGGGAAGAGAAAGTCAGGTTAGTGTTACGGGTGCATCCTGCCACGCTCAAAATATTATGCTACAATTTACCAAATGTTGAGGTTTGAATAATTTTGATTTCCAGCATTTACAGGATTTATGTCATTTTGTAATATTGTTTTAGAGAAATAGTATTGATTCATTCATTCTAAAACTTGTTTTAAAAATCTAATCAGATGGATTCAATGCTTATTTTTTAATGACCTAGCTTATTTTTACCATGCTTATTTTTTGTGATCTCCAATTGCTCTTTGTTTTGAGATGTTATCCTATGCAAAAGCTATTATATAGGTGCAAGCTATTATTGTTTGTGAACCTAGAGTGAGTATAAGCCTGCCTTCAAAGATCTATTCTCACCTTACCCTTTATTGCACTGTCAGGAGCAAATTGTGTGTTTCTTGCAAATATGAAATCCTTTTACGGTGACTGATGACACTGAGAAATGAAATATTTCCACACTTTTGAACCCAGCGTCAGCTCAAATGTTATCTGGTCAGCAGAATAGTGCAGCCTTGGTCCAGCAGGTAGCATCCAATACTTCACTCTTGACCTCAGGCCACTTGTGACAAAAGCAGCTGAATTAGATGCCAGATTTGGGGACTATTCACTGTGTAATAGATGGAAAATGTGCACTTTAATTTCACAGAGATCAATAAGAGAAAAACATTATTTCCCTCTACTGAGATCAGTTATGCACCATGTGTAAACCATGTGTCAATGCTTGTGCACAGAGGGAATTACAAGTGCCCATAGTTATATTGTTAAAAAGCAATGAAAATGATTGGTTGTTAATTGCATAATTAATTAACCTGCAATTCACGGTTTACATATAGTTTTAAATGGTGTGTTTATACCTGTATTTTACCCAAGGTTTACTCATGATTTACACATGCTGCATATTAGATCAGAACCCTAGCCACAGGGTATTGTTCAAAACCGCATTCCACCTTTTACAAGATATCTATGCTTAGTTCAGCCTTTAGTGATGCAAAACATATGGGATGTAGGTTTATCATCAGCAAGCTATAATGACTTATATTTCCTTATTTGTTCCAGTGTGATAATGCTAAAGGACTCAAAGCCTTCTTTGATGGCATCAAGTATGGACCTAAGCACCTGATGATATTTGGAGGAGTTTGTCCATCTGTTACATCCATCATCGCTGAATCCCTTAAAGAATGGAACTTGGTCCAGGTAAGAAAGGGAATAATTCAATCTCCAGAAACTATGTGTATTGTGCTGGCTTGAGTCTCTCTAAATTAACCTCCTGTGTAACACAGTGTGTTCCTGGTGGATTCCTTGGAACTTGTGCTCAAGACAGGAACAACTGAGACACCAAAGTACAAACTGCTCTGAGAAAATGCTCTGTTCCTTATACTGTATCAGATATTTTGAAACAGATATTCCTTGAAGATAGATGTACTATTGGTACTATAGCGTACACATTAGGAACAAAGCTATGATTGTGGCTCAGCTAATCGTATTTCAGAAAAAATAATAACATAACTCCTCCACTGATGAAATAATCCTGCAGAATAAAATCAAACAAAGCACGGAATTCCACCCAATCATGGCCTGTAAGACATTTTGACTTAAAATTTGTGAGCAAACAGAATTGTGGAAATTTCTTAAGTTCTATCTCAATTTGGAAGTCGTTTCTTTTCAGAACTGAGGAAAACTAAATAGTTTCCAAGACTGAGTTGAAGAATTTTCCACAATTCTACTGGGGGATCTAATAAACTGGTGGAAAAGGTTTGATGGACTGAATGGGCTTTTCCTCTTCCTGGTTTCCTTTGATCTAAATTTGTTTTGCTCCTTTTTATAAAATCATTGTGTCCAATTTTTCCCCTAAATGTTCTCTCCTCAGGCCCATGTCTCTGTGCCTGGCCTGGCCTGGCCTGGCCATGGTGCAGTTCCATTCCAAGTGGCCATTGTTCACGTGAGAGTCTTGACAATGAGTGTGGGACATTGACTAGACTACAGAGGGCATCACACCCAAACATGTCCTCTCGCCACATGGCTGGGAAAAGCATGCACACAACCAGTAGAGGGTGGTGTAGAGGGAGAAGGAGCCAGAACCCTGGTTGATTTTTACCTCCCTGGCTCTGGGAAGGCCAGGATCTATTTATTCTCTCAATGCACCACCAGACACCAGCAGGGCAGGATCCAGCATTCAATCCAGCAAGCTCCTGGGCCATAAGCCGCTACTCTGTCAATTACATCATCAAGGCTACTCCATATTCTTAATGTTTTTACACATTAATGTTACAGTCTAAGACTAGGGAATTTCAAGCCTTGAATGTAACATTTTGTCTGACTTGTATTTGTAATATTGTATGTGCAAAGGTAAATGCTCCAGGTGATGGTAAGTTTAGTACATTCAGTATTAATGGGCCACACAAAGTATCACCACTGTAAATGTTTCTGGCACATGTGATTCCATCAAAAGCAGCTTTGTAATGGAATGCACATTCCTGGTTTTCCCACAGTCCAGCGTGTGTTGTGGTCTGACTGTCTGTCAGAACTGTTCATGTTGACCAAAGCAAAATACCAATGTTGGAATTCTAAGATCTATATTTTATTGGTATTCTGAGATCTATATTTTAATTTTAATTGTGGCTATATTGTACAGAACATATTATAACAATGTGTTTTGATAATGTTACCACGTTTTCATTGGTCACTTGTGGAGAAAGAGGAAAAGATATATTTAAAAAGTAGGAAAATATGTCAAGTCAGTGACCTCTTTGACTTACAGTTGTGCAATGCTGGGATTTACCTTGGAGGAATAGAATAAAGAGAATGAACAGACTAAAAATATTCCTGTTTGACACTTAGAAATGTCAATTCATTAATCAGCAGTGAATATTCAGGCAGCTCCTCGTAGGAACTGGCTGATGAAGCTCTGGATGAGCTGGAAGCAAAGATTTGTGGATGAGAAAACAGTGAAAGATAATTGCAAAAGTACGCAATTAGAAGGCTCTAATAGGATGCAGTATCTTACAGTAGATATTAAGATCAGTGCAGGTGGTGGCTCTGACTTTTGTAAGGCAAGGTACCTAATTCATTGATAATGGCCATCACTCCCCTCCTCCAAAAAAATGACATGATGTTTCAAAGCTATTGTTCATTATTTATTGCAGTGACTGTATTTTTGCACATGGATAATTCCAAATGGTCAACGACCTTTCTCAAGCTCTCAAAAACAGATAGAAGTATCAGTTTGTGGAGACTATAAAGTGGCTGGCACTCATGTATTGAAGACAATTGTACCCATTACCTAACCCAGAAGACCTATTTGCTAAGGTAGTAAGCTAGTAAATTTTTCAAAGTGAAGGATTTATGACAAGATTGAGCCATCATTTATAGGATTGAATGGTTCACTCCTCATTAACCTGTAAGTGGTCAGCAATATAATTCCTTTCTATGTGACTCTGTAATCACATCTTTCTGCACCATAATCCTGAAATCTGCATCATAGTCGTGGAGTCCTGTAGCTCAGTGGTTAGAGCACTCGCCTCACAAATGAGAGGATCTGGGTTCAATTCGCGGGCAGGGTGAAATGTTAGGCATGTTTCCTTACTCCACACGCCTCTGTTTACCTAGCAGAAAGTAGGAACCCAGTTGTTAGTCAATTGGCGGATCGTTTTTCCGGGGGTAATAATTCCTTCAAAAAAGATTAAAATAATAATTTTGTCATTCAATCCATGACTTGGCTGCCGCATTTCGTCAATTCACTTTAAGGTATATTTTGTAAACACTTTGATTAAAAATCTCGAAGTTGTGATAAGAGCTGTATCAAATGCAAAGATTATTATTATTAAATACTGTCCACCAATCTGGTGTGTTAGCTAATAGGGGTTTATCCTGGCAGATGTCCTTTCCAAAGCTCTGTTTGTGTATATGTCCTAGGTTTTAATAATAAGTAAATAATCTTTGTTGTTCATATGGAGTCTTTCACATCTGGAGGTCGCCTCAAAGCATTTCACTGAAAAATTCAGTGACTATTTTTGCAGGTGAATATAACAGCCAATTTCTGCATAGCACTATCTCACAAACAGCCATGAAGTGAATGACCAATATTATTCGGGAGAATATTGGCCGGAACACTGAGATAAATTCTGCTCTCTTTTTGAATAATGCCGTGGGATTTTTAATGTCAACCTGAACAGGAAAGACAGGACTTTAGCTTAATCTGTCATCTGAAGGATGGCACCACCAACAATGCAGCCGACCCCAGCATCGTATTTAAATGTCAGCCAAGATGGTGAGTGTAAAGACCCAATGTGAGGTTTGAATCCATAATCTTATGACTCAGAGGAGATAGAGCTTCCGACTGAGCCAGGCTGACACCGGTTTTCAGAAGGTTTCCAATGTTTCAGGCTGCATAGGTGCTGAGCACTCTCATTCTGTGTGTTATTATTCAGTGAACAAACTGGGCACTAAAGGTTTGAGAAGCAAACAGATGAGAATGGAGATAAACACCTCTGTGGTAATATCAGAATATTTCCCCAATTTAAACTGTAAATTATATGATTTCTCGTAATGTTTAAGTTATGATGACCTAATGAGCACACAATTTCACCAAAAAAAATAAATTGAGGATTTGGGTGAGCCTTAAAACGTAGGATCAGAACTAAATATTTTTTAAAATATATAATTAGATTTCAGCAGTGCTATAAGTTCAGTAAAGAAAAAAACTGGGGAAATATTAAATTTTACCAAAGAGATATTCATCTCATCCTATCTATCTGCTTAAGCCCTTTCCCTGAATATCACATAGAATTAAGTGCAAGAGTTCTCAGTATCTATAAGGGCCAGAGATTGTTTTTTATAATGTAAAGTTTATGTTCAGCCACTGAAACAATGGAATTTCTTTTATTGATCACATTTATGTACCTCGTTCTACAGTAGATGAACCCTCTCTCTTCCCATCCGCTCCCCATGAAATTCTCAATGGCAATGTCCGTCAAGCCTCATGTCATTGGCTTGCTTCATAGCCATCGCCACGTAGACCGGTATCGTAGTTTCTGTCTCTGGGATATCCAGTTACAATCGATTTGATAAATAGTGACTATACCAGAAAATGAACTATGTCAGGCCTGCATCAGTAATCTATAAATCCTCAGTGTCATATTTGCCTGTGTTGCTATCTTCCAGTTGCTGTCGGTACCTGGAGCTCTGTCCTTTGTATGTATCGAGCGTAGGTTTGGCCCAGGAAACCTGTGCCTTCTACAGACTCTGTCTTCCTAATTACGTAATCCCTCGGGGCAGGGAAATGACCACAATTAAAATCAAATTCTGATGTGAAGAATTTGACTACAATTGAGTGAATCCATATGCTTTTATGACCAGTTTTATTTTTATATTTATATTTTATAAATAAATATTTTATATTTATTTATATTTATATTTATTTTATTCAGGAAATCTTACAGAGCTGTTGCATTTACAATTCTATATTATAACTGCAACAGCTCTGTAAGACTGTATTGTACAATGTTCCGTTTTATATATGAAGGTGATCAGTTATCTGACTGTTAAAATCTGTTCCAAGACCCAGCCCTGATGGTGTAGTGGATAGATAGCTCCTCATGGAGCATTTGGGGATTTGGAGCTTGCTGATTTGAATCCTGGCCCGTGCTAAGTTCCCATGAGGAGGCTGAATTGACCCTTAGTTCTCCCTAGCAAAATCATCCAGATTTTCTACTTCTGATCACTCTTCTTCACAATAATAACTTATATTTATATATCGCTCTTCACGTGGGTCACGGAGTGCTTAACCCTCTATGTGTGGTAGCGGGTGGGGAGAGGTCAACTACACTCGCTGCCAAGGCTCACATGTGAACAATGGCCACTTGGGCAGGGGTCCAGAGCCCAACCAGATAAGGTCAGAGAAAATTAGGAAATTATTTGTTTTGTTTTTTAAAAATGTGACCCACAATCAAAACCCACGATTATGGAGTCCTGTAGCTCAGTGGTTAGAGCACTCGCTTTGCAAGTGAGAGTCCTGAGTTCAATTCCAGGCAGAGCGAAAACTTGGGCAAGTTTCCTTACTTCACACACCTAATAATAATCCCTCCAAAACAAAACAATAATAAATTGGTCATTTTCAATCAATGACTGTCTGTGGATACTGCTGCGCGCAATTGGCTGCCGCGTTCGCCCACAAATATACAGTGAATTCACTTTAC